GGTGCGTCGGTGCGCGCCCGGGATCCGAACCAGTGAAACCCGGGCTGCCGCAGTGGAGCCCTCGCACTTAACCACTTGCACCACTGGGCCGGCCCCTGATGTTTGCTGCTTTGGGCAGTTTTTTGGTTTTTTCTTTTTTTTTGCTTTTTTGTTTTGATCTGCCTTGCAAATTTTTCCCCTTTCTTATGATAAGTGTCCATTTGTGCTGGGGTAGTTTGGATGGAGCAACCTCAACCCACATGCCCAATTCTTCCACACTCCTGGCCTCAGGGGTAAGCATGTGACCAGCCTGGCAATCAAAGTACTCTATCCTCCTATAGCCAGGATCTACTTCAGGAATGAGGCTTATGACCCAAGTGAGGCCAGAGTCTATCTCTGAATTTCTCTAATGGAGCCATCTGGGAAGGCTTTCCCTTCTTCTGGGGATGCTAACCTAAGAGGATGTGGGTCTAGGGCTACCAATAGCCGTCTTGCCACATAAAGTCTAAAAAATGAAACCAAGAAGAGTTAGGCAGAATTGAGAGCTGGAGAGGCAAAGCCTTACATTTGGGTCACTGGATCAAGCTAGAAATAATGTCAAGCAGAAAACAGACCGTCTACATCTGATTGATTCTAAATGCACTCCTAGACTTCCTGGTTATAGGAGCTAATCAATTCCTTGTCATTCCCCTCCCCCACTCACTTTGTTTAAGCTAAGTTTAAACTGGGTTTCTGTTACTTAAACACCAAAAACTCCTAAATTACACAATAATCCATTATATAAAGCCATCCAATAATGTATTTAAATCTCAAGAATTATGGAATTTTATACCTGGAGAGGACCTCAGCAATTCAGTCCAGTATCAGATTTACAGATGAAGAAACTGAGGCCTAAGGAGGGAAAGATTCCTGCCAGAGGGCATGCCACAATATTAATAGGATCAGAACTAGAACCTGCTGCCTCTGAGAAGCTGCTCATAGCAACTTTAAAATATTTTTTTATTTTGAAGTGACTGGAGGGCCGGCCCCGTGGCTTAGCAGTTACGTGCGCGTGCTCCGCTGCTCGCGGCCGGGGTTCGGATCCCCGGTGCACACTGACGCACTGCTTCTCCGGCCATGCTGAGGCCACGTCCCACATATAGCATACAGCAACTAGAAGGATGTGCAGCTATGACATACAACTATCTACTGGGGCTTTGGGGGGAAAAAATAAATAAATAAAATCTTTAAATTAACTGGGGAATGATTAAATATACTATAGTGGGTCATATTAGAGAATACTTTGCAGCCTTTAACGAGGATGAGATGCTATATATGCTGGCACAGAGATATGTCAAAATATATTAAGACATTATGTTGTTCTATTTTAGAAGTTATTTTAAAGCTTCCAGTGCAAGAAGGCAAATTGAACACAAGCATACATATCTTCTCCACTGAGACTAGTTAAATAAGAGTTGGGAAGAAAAAAGACTCAACATCAGAGAACACACGAAGGAGCCCATCAGCAGGGAAAAACCTTCTACATACTTCCGGGAGACAGAAAGTCCGTGTGTGTTGATTGATGGAGCAGAGCTGAGAAAACTCTGGGACACATCTACACACACACCACTCATCACTATCTCCACTGCTACCTCCCTAGTCTAAGCAACCACCATCTTTGTTTGTTACAGTGTCGAAGTGCAAGCTTTACTGAGTGTTGCTGCCTTTCACTCAGATTATAATAGTTTTCTGACTACAGTGTACTTATTTCTCTGGTTTACTTCTGTCTTTCCCACCAGCATAAACTCTATGAGGACATGGATTCGCATCTACTTTGTTCACTGTTTCTTTAAAAAATTTTACAAAATCACGCATTGTTTTCTAATAAAAAAATAAAGTCAAAAAAATTAATTACAATAGTGCATTCTTATCTCACGAGGCTGCTAAGGTCCATCTTCTCAGTATAACCTTAATGGACAACCTCATATCATCTTCGAATTTTGGAGAAGCAAATGAAAGCCAGGAAAAACCTAAGTAATTTTCCCAAAGTCACATGTAAAATAGAAGAGCCAGGATTTGAAACCAGATTTGACCTCAGAGAGCTTAGTCTTGACTGCTATATTACACTATCTCCCCAACTAAATCTGGACCTACTATGTGGGGCATGGTGACTAGCATACGGTGGGCATTCAAAAGCCCCAAGGAACTGTATTTAAATGTGGTCCCCTAGGGTCAAGCCTGCCTTACTTCCCGGGTGACTTACTGTTCCTTTCATTCTGTGCACCAGCTCGTACATTCGGATGCAGCCTTCCACTTTGATCCCCCGGGAGGACTGAAGTACCACAGATTCTGTTTGCTGGGACTCATGTTTGCCCTGTTTAGACAGAAGATGGAAAACTTAAGCTTTTAAGATGTTAAAGCTGGTGTTATGCCTTCTAGACAAAAACCACATCCCTACTTATGAACAACAGCCAATAACCACCACAACAAAACAATTTAGGTTAGAACCAGTGTGCTTTTTATGATATTGACCTTGTTCTAATTGTTTGCCTTAATAAATTGATGTGGTTTTTTTTTTGTGAGCAAGATCGGCCCTGAGCTAACATCTGCCAATCCTCTTCTTTTTTTGCTGAGGAAGACTGGCCCTGGGCTAACATCCATGCCCATCTTCCTCTACTTTATATGGGACACCGCCACAGTATGGCTTGACAAGTGGTGCGTCGGTGCGCGCCCGGGATCCGAACCAGTGAAACCCGGGCTGCCGCAGTGGAGCCCTCGCACTTAACCACTTGCACCACTGGGCCGGCCCCTGATGTTTGCTGCTTTGGGCAGTTTTTTGGTTTTTTCTTTTTTTTTGCTTTTTTGTTTTGATCTGCCTTGCAAATTTTTCCCCTTTCTTATGATAAGTGTCCATTTGTGCTGGGGTAGTTTGGATGGAGCAACCTCAACCCACATGCCCAATTCTTCCACACTCCTGGCCTCAGGGGTAAGCATGTGACCAGCCTGGCAATCAAAGTACTCTATCCTCCTATAGCCAGGATCTACTTCAGGAATGAGGCTTATGACCCAAGTGAGGCCAGAGTCTATCTCTGAATTTCTCTAATGGAGCCATCTGGGAAGGCTTTCCCTTCTTCTGGGGATGCTAACCTAAGAGGATGTGGGTCTAGGGCTACCAATAGCCGTCTTGCCACATAAAGTCTAAAAAATGAAACCAAGAAGAGTTAGGCAGAATTGAGAGCTGGAGAGGCAAAGCCTTACATTTGGGTCACTGGATCAAGCTAGAAATAATGTCAAGCAGAAAACAGACCGTCTACATCTGATTGATTCTAAATGCACTCCTAGACTTCCTGGTTATAGGAGCTAATCAATTCCTTGTCATTCCCCTCCCCCACTCACTTTGTTTAAGCTAAGTTTAAACTGGGTTTCTGTTACTTAAACACCAAAAACTCCTAAATTACACAATAATCCATTATATAAAGCCATCCAATAATGTATTTAAATCTCAAGAATTATGGAATTTTATACCTGGAGAGGACCTCAGCAATTCAGTCCAGTATCAGATTTACAGATGAAGAAACTGAGGCCTAAGGAGGGAAAGATTCCTGCCAGAGGGCATGCCACAATATTAATAGGATCAGAACTAGAACCTGCTGCCTCTGAGAAGCTGCTCATAGCAACTTTAAAATATTTTTTTATTTTGAAGTGACTGGAGGGCCGGCCCCGTGGCTTAGCAGTTACGTGCGCGTGCTCCGCTGCTCGCGGCCGGGGTTCGGATCCCCGGTGCACACTGACGCACTGCTTCTCCGGCCATGCTGAGGCCACGTCCCACATACAGCAACTAGAAGGATGTGCAGCTATGACATACAACTATCTACTGGGGCTTTGGGGGGAAAATAAATAAATAAATAAAATCTTTGAAGTGACTGGAATTCATAGGAAGTTGCAAAAATAAGGGGGGTCCTGTGTATACTTCACCCAATTTCCTCCAATAGTAACATCTTTTATAAATACAGTAAAATATCGAAAACAGTAAATGGACATTGGTACAAGCCACAGAACTTACTCAAATTTCTCCAGTTTTACAGCAACTCACTTGCGTACGTGTATAGTTCTACGCAATTGATCACGTGTGTAGATAAGGTACAGAACTGTTTTATCCCTACAAGGCTTCCTTGTGCCACACCAACCTTATACCCCTAATCTGTCCTCCATCTCTATAATGATCTTATGTCAAGAGTATTAAACAGATGGAATCATACAGTATGTAACCTTTTGAGATTGGCTTTTCATTGCTGGTAGTAGTCCATGGTATAGATGCACCACAGTTTGTTTAACCATTCATCTGTTCAAAGACATTTAGTTGTTTCCAGTTTTTGGATATTATAAATAAAGCTGCTATGAACATTGGTATACAGATTTTTATGTGAACGTAAGTTTTGAGTTCTTTGGGAAAAATGCCCAAGAATGCAATTGCTAGGTCATATGGTTAAGTGCATATTTAGGTTTATCAGAAACTGCCAAACTTTCCCACCTGTCTGTACCATTCTACATTCCCACCCAAAACATACGAGTGATCCAGATTCTCCACATCATTGTCAGCATTTGGTGTTGTCATTAATTTTTTTTTTTTTTTGAGGGAGATCAGCCCTGAGCTAACATCCATGCTAATCCTCCTCTTTTTGCTGAGGAAGACCGGCTCTGACCTAACATCTATTGCCAATCCTCCTCCTTTTTTTCCTTCCCCAAAGCCCCAGTGGATAGTTGTATGTCATAGTTACACATCCTTCTAGTTGCTGTATGTGGGACGAAGCCTCAGCACGGGCAGACAAGTGGTGCGTCGGTGCGCGCCCGGGATCCGAACCCAGGCCGCCAGTAGTGGAACGTGTGCACTTAACTGCTAAGCCACCAGGCCAGCCCTGTCACTATTTTTTATTTTAACCATTCTGATAGGTGTGTAGTGCTACCTCGTTCTGGTTTTAATTTGCATTTCCCTAATGGCTAACGATGTTGAATATATTTTCATGTACTTATTTGCCATCTGTATATTGTCTTAGGTGAAATGTCTTCATATCTTTTGTCCATTTTCTTTTTTTTTTTTTTTAAAGATTTTATTTATTCATTTTTTTCCCCCCAAAGCCCCAGTAGATAGCTGTATGTCATAGGTTCACATCCTTCTAGTTGCTGCACGTGGGACTCGGCCTCGCGTTGGACGGAGAAGCGGTGCCCTGGGGTGCGCCCGGGATCCGAACCCGGGCCGCCAGCATCAGAGCGCGCGCACTTAACCGCTAAGCCATGGAGCCGGCCCATCCATTTTCTAACTGAGAGTTAGAAAGCGGTTTTTTTTTTAACATTTGAGTTTTGAGAGTTTTTTATACATTCTAGATACAAAACCTTTGTGATATATGTGGTTTGCAACTTTTTTCTCCCAGTCAGTAGCTTGTCTTTTCATCCTCTTCACACGGTCGTTCACAGAGTAAAGGTTTTCATTTTGATGAGATCCAATTTATCAATTTTTCCTTCTGTGGATTGTGTTTTTGGTGTCAAAACTAAAAACTTCACCAAGCCCTAGGTCTTCATTATGTTTGTTTTCCCTAAAAGTCTTATAGTTTTACAATTAAGTCCATGTTCATTTTGAGTTAAGTCTTATGTAAGGTGTGAATTTTAGGTTGAAGTTCATTTTTTTACTTATGATGCCCAATTGCTAGAAATATATATATATTTTTTTTGCTGAGGAAGATTCGCCCTGAGCTAACATCTGTGCCAATCTTCCTCTATTTTGTATGTGGGTTGCTGCCATAGCAGGGCTACCAATGAGTGGTATAGGTCCATGCTCGGGAACCAAACCAGGGCTGCTGAAGCAGAGCGCGCCAAACTCAACGAGCAGGCCACGGGGCCAGCCCCAGAAATATTTTTTAAAGACTAAAAATTTTAAAGATGAAGTGCTAAATATAAACTAAAAAATACACTTTATATGTATAGAACCATGCAGTCTTTTATAATATGAATAATCATCTCTGTCCTATATTCCTTTTTAGGATTATTATTTACTGTACAGTAAATTCCTGTTTGTTGTGAATAACTCTGGCAAAGACATTTCTCCAAAGAAGACAGCACATGAAAAGATGCTCAACGTCACTAATCATTAGGGTAATGCAAATTAAAACCACAATGATATACCACTTCACATCCACTATTATCACAAAAAAAACCCAGAAAACAACAAATGTTGGCAAATATGTGGAGAATTGGAACCCTTGTGCATTGATGATAGGAATTTAAATGGTGCAGCTGCTGTGGAAAATGGTATGGTGGCTCCTCAAAAAATTAAACACAGAATTACCATATCATCAAGCAATTCCACTTCTGGGTATATACCCACAAGAACTGAAAACAGATACTCAAGATAATACACGTACATGCATGTTTACAGCAGCACTATTCACAACAGTCAAAAGGTGGAAGCAATCCAAGTGTCCAGTGACAGACAAATGGATAAACAAAACATGGTATATACTACAACAGAATATTATTTGGCCTTAAAAACAGAGGAGGGGCCGGCCCCGTAGCTTAACGGTTAAGTGCG